GGACCTCCAGGACACCTAAACGCGACGGAGACGGTGTCGGAGGACTCTTTGGCACCGCCGACCGCGTTAGAGGCGGCAGAAGGACCTCCAGGACACCTAAACGCGACGGAGACGGTGTCAGAGGACTCCTTGGCACCGCCAACAACGTTACGGTTGGCGGAGGCGTCTCTACAGCGCCTAGCCAGGATGGAGGCGGTGTTGGAGGATTCCTCGGCGCCGCCAACAGCGTTACAGGTGGAGAAGTCTGGGGGACACACGGAGACGGTGTCGAAGGACTCCTCGGTGCCGCCGGCAACGTTACAGGCGGAGAAGAGGATGCCAGGACACCTAAACACGATGGAGCTGGTGTCGGAGGACCCCTCAGGACCACCAACCACGTTCCAGGCAGCGGAGGCGTCCGTGGGACACCCGGCCGCGATGGAGACGGCGTTGGGGTCCCCCTCGGCACCCCAAATGGCGTTGTCGGCGCTACAGGTGCCTCCGGGACACCTCAACACGCCGGTGACGGTGTTGGAGTCCTCCCCGTCACCGCAGATGGCGTTATCGGCACCGGGGGCGTCCCCGGTACACCCTAACCCGCGGGAAACAGGGTGCGAGTCCTCCTCGGTCTCCGACCGCGTGGGACACCCGGACGCGGCGGCGGTGACGGTGTTGGAATCTTCGCCGGCGCCCGCCGTGCCGTCCCGCGGTCCGGCGAGCGCCCATCGGACGACTTCCAAGTCCTCCCCGGCCCCCCAGCCCACGGCACCGGCGCGGTGTCACCCCGCACAGGCAATCGGGGAGCAGCGCCGGGGGTCCCGGTCCCCCCGATACCGATCCGCTGCCCCCCGACACCGCTCCCCTGGGGGCACCGAGGCTGACGGGTGACAGGGTTGTCTGGGGGCGGGGGTCCGGAGCCCGTTTCCCTCCCCGTGATTAAATTTGGGTTGTTTTGGAGCGGTTTTTGGGTGGATTTTGGTTTTTGGGGACCCCCAACACGGGGCTGGGGACCCCCAAACGGGGGTCGGGACCCCCAAAAAGAGACGGGGGTTGCTGCAGACCACCACCGCTTTATTCCTCTGTCACCCCCCTGACCCCGAAACGGGCGTCAGGCCTTGCTAGAGCTCTCCCAAATATTGGGGTCCTCCGTGGATTTGGGGTACCCCCGGATGTCGGTACCCTCGGGGATCTGGGCTCGCCTCCAGGTGTCGGGGTCCCCCCCGACGCCCGGATTCTCCATGGGTTTGGGGTGCTCCCGGGCACCTGGGACTTCCGTGGGCTCTTTTTCTTCCTCCTCCTCTTCCTCCTCGCGGGGGTCCGGGGGGGTCTCGGCAAAATAGGCCTCGCGGGTGATGCCGGCGACCCAGCGCTCGTAGTGGGGGGCGGCGGTGAAAAGGGGGGGCCCCCCTTGGGCGCAGCCCCCCACGCTGGCTGTTCCCATCAGGAACCAGATCCCCCGTTCCTCGCAGACCAGGGCGGACCCCCCATCCGGCTGCGGGGTGAATCTTGTCAGTCCGGTGCTGGGGGACTCGACCGGGATACCCCAAAAAACCCCACCAAAAGGGACCCCAAAATCCTCTAGAAGGGACAACTAGGGACCCCAGGGACCCCCAAAACCTCCAAAAGGGACACCGAGGGACCCCCAAACCCCCCAGAAGGGACACCTAGGGACCCTGGGACCCCCAAAACACCCAGAAGGGACCCCTGGGACCCCCAAACCCTCCAGAAGGGACACCTAGGGACCCCTGGGACCCCCAAACTGCCCAGAAGGGACACCTAGGGACCCCCAAACCCTCCA